AACAGCTCCCATTCTTTGGGAGGGTCCTTGGAGATGGCCGTTTTGGAAGGGCCTACATCTGTCTCTGAAATTGTGCTTAAGTACTTCTTCCCTCCATTTAAAAACACTGCATCTACAGAGAAATTGAGAGTCCCAGCAGGGCTGTACACTACAGTCAAACTGAGACGGGATTGGTTTGTTTAAGTTGTTTTTTTTTTGAAGGCCTAGGATAGAATCTGTGTAACACTGAGCTGAGTGTTACTACATGTTACCACACACATTTACCTGATGTATGATCTGGCTCAAGAGCTTCTCTGCTGGCAGACTGTTTACAGGTGCTGTCCCTCAGGGAAAAGAGGAAGGCATTCAGGCCTCCCCAAATGAAGAGTAGAAGGCAACACCCAGGTAACTTGTGTCAGAGTGCTTGCAGGGTCTGTTGCATGTAGAGCACACCCAGTATCACCAGTGCCACTGAATGTTTCTTCTTACATTGTTAGCATAGCATGTCCTTTCTATCATCTTTATTGGCTAGCCTGGGTTAAGTCTTAGCTGAGTTTTTCTTTGTAAGCAAAAGTTATCCTTTGTGTAGGTGTCCTGACAGCAATTTGAGCATGTCTTTTCAGATGTTGTATTGTCTAAGGTAGTGAAGGAAAGCAGAGGATAGCAATATATCTGGTGCAGTTATTCTTAAGGCATTTTAGTCAGAGTGTAGGTGGGAAAAAGAATGCTATTTTGATTATAGGCTGCAGGCAAGTCCAACTTATCTGTAACAGACGGTGTGAACAGGCTCCTGCCTGTAATTATGGCAGTGAGCAGGTGCAGGAAGAGTCTTAGGAAAATGATTTCAAAGATGGAAGCAGGACAGATCAAGTATGGGTGGCATCATAAACAGCTCTGCTGGTACGTCACATCTGCTGAGCTTGCATCCACTGTCAACTTCTCCAGCAGAGAGGGAGAGGTTTTTGCAGTGTGTGGCTGTCCTGGAATCACTTGAACCAGAAGGGATTGAGTTCTCCTTGTACAGACTGTCAAGCTGATGGCATAATGTTGTGATCCTAAGTTGTCAATGCCATGATCAAGCAATCTTGTAGACAAGATGAGCATACATTGTGACATACCATTGCACATTCAAGTAGAATAGAAGTGGCTATTTGTCCTTGCTTGTCAGAGGAGGACTGTACTAACTTGGATCCTTTTTGAAGGGATAGTCTTTTGACACCCTTCAGCTGCCTTTTGTCAAAGGCTCAGTAGAATATTGCTGAATACTTCCTCAGTTCTTGTATTTTCCTTTTGCCATTAGAGACAGGATTCTAGGAAAGATGGACATCTCATCTGACCTGATACGACTTTCTTATGCAGTTTGTGCTTATGTAAGTAATCTGTCTTCTGTGTAATATGAAATGAAGCCTTCTCATATGCTGCTTCTCCTGGAATACAGCTTTATTAATTTATATGTACTATATGCACTAGTTTAGCATTGCAACATCATAAAACTTGACCACTGAACACAGAACTGGAGTGTTATTACTTTGTGATTAAAGATTTACCAAATCAAATATGTATTATACAAGGTTGTTGCAATATCAGAATTGCTATTCTGAACAAATAAAACCTAATATAAAATACTTTTGACATATTAGTCAACGTCACAAGACCCATTTCCAATTTGAAAAATATTTTTTAAAGTGTTTCTCAAATTCAGGAATACACTCCTTTCTCCCTCCTGTCATCAGTGCTTAGATCTTATAGTGATCAGTCACGCTTATTTCTCTCACTTCACTGAGATGCAGATCAAAGAACACATTGAGGTGCATCAAACACTTTGATTGTTCCTTATTAGACATTAGAGAATAGATTTATATAATAATATATATGCTTATTAAAATGAAGAGTGTTAAGGAGTTGAGAGAGCTTTTGTATTTCACAAAGATAGTTATCTTTTTGGGGGGCAATGTTGACCATTGATACCTTTTATTCTTTCCAACTATCTGTAACTGTGGTGATATGATGTCATTGTCAAAGGCCAGAATGTATGGAGTGGAACACTTTAACAAGTAATCACAGCTGCTTCGCTTTTAAAAGCATGAATTTTGAGCAGTTTCAGAAGTTTATATTTTTGTCTCAAAGATAAGATAGGATATTACATACAGCTTGATATAGTTGGTTAGAAACTGGTTAGAATTAATGTTCTGTAAAGTATGCAAATCAGCATAAGAACCATTGGTAACTGTTTACATGCTATTAATAATTAGCAACCTTGATACTAGTCTGTTAGGAACGAACCACACATTGGGTACAATAGAAACTCAGCTCCATACGGTTGCATTCAAATTACATTTGACTTGGACAATGGAGCATGAATGGAACTCATTTGAGTTTTTGCCACTGTAAACAATGAGATCTTGGAATGTTTCATTTGTTTATTGATTTATTTATTTGGACAGGTGCAGGTTGAGCATATGAAATTATTTTTTATTCAAATATAGGCAGAAAATAGCTTAATTGACATTGTCCAGTCAGTGTATGATGATAACCAACATCTTGTTTGGATAAACTCAAATTAATTTAGTCTGTAGCTGGTTTTGAATTTGGCTTTTAAACTAATCAAACATGTTCTAGAGAAAGCGCTTCATGTGTTGTCCAGCCTCGTAGAAAATACAGGGTGGGTTTTTTTTTTATTATGTTCTTTTTAGATACTAAGTTCCTTCTTTCACTTTCTGTTAAAAGTTATGTGCATGTCTGTGAAGTATATTCCGTTAATGCTAATGGAGCTCATCCTTGAGAAGAGGTCATTCAAATCTGATGGATCCCATCTGGATGAGGATGATTCTCTTGGGTGTAATTTTCCTCAGCTATTTGAAACCCTTTCATAAGTGCTCCAAAGCAATAAGGCTCTATAATTTGCAAAATGATAGCAGGAGGAAAGAGGCAGGAAGATTGTTGGTGGGATCATACGTTAGGAAGTAGTATCACAGGACTAATAGCATGAATTAATGCAAGGAGAGCCTTGATTCAGGCTGTTTTATGTTTTCCATCAGCTGGACAACTGCATTTCTCCCAAATGAACACTAAAGGGAGAATGGATGATGGTAGCACATCTTACCATTTGGGGTAGGGTGCAGTTGAAATTAGAGAAATAATACGAAGGTACACGCAGAAGACATTATCCTTGGTCCACATTTTCCTAGGCTCATGTCAAATGGAAAATTGCATAGCAATCTACAAACAAGAGAAAATCTCACAAATACATGTCTTGCAGAAATAAATACGTGTCTTTTAGAATACATATCTTTTAGAAATAAAGCTACAGAAGGACCTTACACATTTAATACCTTAAATTATCTTGCCATACAACATAGCCTATGCTATTAAGTTCAAGTGTTGCAACTATGTGTTGTATCATAGTCTTTTCAAAGTTGTTCCAATATGTCTCACCAGGTGGAACAGATTCATACGCTCAGCTTGATAAACAGTCACATTAGTATTTTGGTTCATACTGAGAATTTGCTGTTGATATTTCTCTTTCTACATTATATTGCATTTAAACGGTAACAGGGCTTCTCTTGTAATGTGTACGTTTGATTCCTGTCAATGCTAACAGAAGGTATGCACAGACACCAGTGGAAGAGTAGACTAGAATTTCTCTTGAGGTGGACAACTGTTTATAATTAGAGTTGTGGGAATGAAGAGCAACGCAGCTAGCAAGCAGTCACTCTTCCAAAAAGCTTGGTAAACTCGTAAAGCTCAGGAGCTTAATCTCTGAACCAGAGTCCTTGTTATCTAATCCCCACCAGCTGTTGTGTACTTGGTAGCCATGACATCTGTAATAGAGCTGAAGGGCCTGTCTGTATTGCTTGGCACCTTCACCCACCAACTGAACTTAATTCTTCTTTCATTGCTCACATTTACCTGCTTTAAATCATTAACCAGTTGCTTAGGGTTTGATCATCTACTTAACTGTACTTCATAATAGAAAGCTTGTGCTGCTTTTCACATTAAATGTGGTTCAGGTATGTAAGTTTTCAGCAGGTTAGTTTTTGCCATGCGAATAAGAGAAAGGTATCAACCAAAAGAATTTCCTCTGGTTACATACTGATCCTTATATTGACATACAACTGACCTAGGAGTGAAATCTCAGTTGTATTTCATGTGAAAAATACTGCCACACTTCTAATAAGCATGGCAAAGAATTATATATGTATCTCTTCACTGGTCTATATGAATGAGTATAGATGATCATGGAAGATAGAATATAAATGTAAGCAATGTACATGTTCATAACTGTGGAAGAATGCTTGTTTGTAGGGATCAGTTTAATCTGTGCTATGGTGGATGTCATTCTTTTTAGGATAGCAGAGGGCAGAAATTGGCCCAACTTGAGAAAATAATTCATTTTATGCCTCCCAGTTCTTGGGTGAACGCTGTGGCTTCAAGCCTACTGTTATACAGAATCCTCACCACCACAAGCAGTGCTGAGTAACAGCTGTTGTACAGAAGAAGGAGTGTGATCTCTTCATGTTAGGCATATCATGGACAAAACCACTATTTTAGGGCCTTGTAAGGGGTTAGAGGGAAGGATGTCTTGTTCCTGGATCCCAGATTAGTTTAGTTAGGAGGTAAGTGCTGAGCTGACCTCCTAAGACCATTTCTGGACATGGAAGAATATAGACATACGGGTTATTTTACTGGTTAAAACTTAGCTGCTTAGAGCTTCCTAGTACCCGAGTGATTGAATTTGTAATCTGAAGTTGACACTGTAGGCAAATTTGGGCCCAAAGACTGCCCTGGTCTTAAGTTAGCTATCAGCATTATACTGTGGATATAAAATTTTGAACTGGCCTAAGGCAGTTCTCACCATCTATACTACTTCCTGTCGAAATCCAGAATAATGGTCTCATAAAATAAAAACAGCTATACCAAGTTTTCAAAGAAATGCCTGTTAAATTTTGTTTTTGTTACAGTAATTTTTCACTTGGAATTTATTTTCCTGATTTTTTTTTTTTTTTTTTTTAATTCCCCAGAATGGCACGAAGAAGGTCTGGGATTTTATGAAGATACATGACAGGTAACAGATGGAACCACATTATTTCTTTCTGTCTTTCTGTTATATTTCATAACTGTATTGTCTTTCAGTGGTCAAATCTTGTCGATGTGGAGTCTTTTTCCCCCCAATTTCCTCTTCAATTTGCAGTTATTGCATAATGCTTGAGATAGTTCTTTATTTCAGTAGGCGTAATTAGCAGACATTTTAAAATCTCCTCATGGTTTACTGTGTTTTCAGTCAGTTGTGACTGTGCTTGACTTCAAATATTAGAGTTTTAATACATGAGGTAGTGTACCTTTTAATTATTACATAGAAGGTGGAACTGAAAGTTTGGATTGTATGACGTTTTTTGTTTTGAGTGTGAAAGACTATGCCCCTCACATATATAACCGTGTTGTTACTGGTGCCATTAAGTGGACTAGTCCCAATATGTGACCAGACTCTCTCACCTGTGAATATACAATCCCGGGTATTGCCCTAATAGAAAGACTATTAAAAAGCAATCTAAAGTTATGGTCATACTGTTTGATTTTATTTTTATTTTTTTTCCCTCCACTGGCAATTACTTGGAATAAGGTAGAGATTCTGTTTTGAGTAAATCCTAGCATTATGCTTTTATTTTAATCTGCTCTATCACTGCTATGTAAGGATTTTCTTAGTCAAAGCCTAATTAAAAAAAAACTTCCCAAATGCCTGAAACCTTTCAGGCTCTCCATTCTCTGCACCAAACATGCCTTCTGAACACATGGGAAGAAATGGATGTCTTTCCAATTGTATTTCTCCTATCAGGGAAGAAAAGCAGTTAACTCCTGTCTCAGAAATCAATTAATGCAAAATTATAACAACTAGGGTATATATGAAACAGACTCAGAGTTATTGAATATTAAACTATTCATATGTCTTTTTAAAAACTATAAATATTTAGTCACTGAAAATTCAGATACCAGAAGATAAAAATATAAAACAAACTTAACAACTTTTCCATAGAAAAAGCTTTTCTAAATCTATTAATTGTAAAAAACGTAGGAAAACACTAATGGCAAAAGAAACTGTGATAACCAAAACATGTTTAGAGGTGTATTCTTCTTGTATGTGAAGTAAGTAGGTAAAATCAGTTACATATTTGGAAATCCTTCTTCGTTGGAACCCTGAAAATCCTTACAGTGAACCTTTTTGTGTGTTAAGTATCTAGGATGGACATAAATTGATAGCAATACTTTTATCAGTAAAAAAATTATGAAGGTAAAAGTTCCAGGAAGACTGGGAAAATATTAGATAGATTAAAAATGCTTTTACTGCTTGTGAATAAGGACAGAAAAGGGAGTGATATTTCAATACTGAACTTCACACTTGCTTTTGGAATTTGCCTGGAAGACAGTTCTGTCTTTGCACTTTGTCTGTCCATATGGGCATGTGCCTGAATTTATGATCGCAGATACAAAGGCTGAAATGATAATTGATTTATGGAAATTGAATATATGCCCATTCAAGCAAGTGAATCCAGCTTTAAATCACAGTGCTAAGAACGTGACTTCCAGATGAAAAATTTGGATTAACTATTTTTGTTTAAAATTTAGTTTAAACAGTTTAGCTCTGTGATAATGTGTGAATATATGCAACTAACTGAGTGGGGTAAATATTAAAGGATCAGTTTTCCCACTTCTTGGGAACAGTATTTCTGAAGGACTTTTGTGGACATTTTTAAAATAGTTGAGAACATAACTGTATAAAAAGGCTATGGCCACATGTCATGCCAGTCATCTCTGGTCACATAACATTTGTTAGCTTCAGATGTACAACAGCTGTCATCCTAACTTATTAGTGACTACCGTTGAACTGTAGAACATCTAACGCTCTTTTGCAAGTAAATTCAGTGCAACTTCTGACACCAGAGGTAATAATGTGAACTTTGGGTTTACATAATTTTTATTAGTGAATATGAAGCCAATTGTTACCAGATAAATTAGGTTCAAAATCTCTTGTAATGCATTAAAGCCTACGTTTTACTGTATTTCATTAGGACAGCTGTGATGCTAGTTGTATGGAAAAGTCACGTTGTCTATTTGCTGAAAATTATAGAGGACTTCATACTTGGAGGGCTTTTAGAGGTTCATTACTCTTAATGAAGGATAAAATTTTGAAGAAGAGGAGGGGTTTCCAGGGTATATGTCCTTTTGTCAGGATTTCCTAGTGCATATGTCTTCTACAGGAAGATGTAGGAGTTTTCCATAATTAAGATTCTTTTTCCATAATACTTTTCAAAAGTTTCCAAAACTTCTACTTCCAAAAATGCTGTAACACTGTTAAATGCTCACAAGTTTTTTTACTAAAACTGTTTTCCCAAATTGAGCATACGCATCGGAATGCAAGATCCGTAAAGTGCACATATGCATATATTATATATTTATATGTAATTGATATGTATAATTAATTTAATGATGCTGAATTAAAAACAAACAACAAACTAAGTGTGCTAATCGTACAAACAGACACTGAGCCTAACTCGTGTCTTTATCTCATACTCTTTCAGCAGCACAAGTAAATGAGTGCTTAAGACTTGATTTCCTTGCTGCGTGACAGGGAGAGACTGTGTGCTGGGTTCCTTTGGGACCTCAGAGTTTTCATTTCAAATTAGGTCAACACAAGCCAATATTCAATAGATTTGTACCAGAATATAGGAAAAAAAAAAAAAAAATCAGCAAGACAGATGAAGTTATCTTTGTATAGATTTGTCCTTTCCAGCTGTTCAGATGAACAGCTGATTAAATTATACAATGACAAAAGCATAAGGACTGCAGTAGTCATGTCATTTGCCTTAAGTGTGAGTCACCTTTTAAAATCTACTATACATTGCAGTAGGACAAGTTCATTTAACCATATGCAAGTTGGCATTGCACTAACATGGTGAAATAGCAAAATCTTTATTAGATACTACTGTTTGGTTTTGTTGTTTTGTTGGGTTTTTTTCTTAGTTATTGCAGATCTGGACTTCAGTGTGTGGCTCCTGAGCTTTCTTAAGATCAAGACCATTCAGAATTAGAGTATCAACCCTGGAGTCACCTCTGCTTTACATATCTTGTAATAATGCTGAACAAATAATTACATTCTCTCAATCCCTCCATGCCACTTAAGACAAAACCAAAGTTTTTTGCAAAATTATTCCTGATCACACAATAAACTATTACCAAAGCAAACCTTCAAAACCTGTGCTGTGAAAAGTCACAAGAAGCAGTTATTTGTTACCATATTTACGTTTAAATTGTAACAGAAGCATAAAGGACACAAAGACGTACCCAAGTTGAGTAGTTAAGCCCTGGAACACCTTGCCCAGAGAGGCTGAGGAACCTCCATCCTTGAAGAAATTCAAACCTTGAGAAGGCTCTGAAAAATCAGACCTAACGTAGAAGTTAGCCTGATTTTGAGTAGGAGGTTTGATCCAATGATCTCCAAAAGTCTTTTACAACCTAAAGGTTTCTGTGTTTTTAAGCAGATTAAATACTTACTGAATGTTGCAGTTCCCATCTGACAACTGTCTAAAATTTGTAAACTAAAATCTGTCAACTTACAAGCCATTTTTCTATTGGAAAATAATGCATTTACTATAATTCTTGTGCTCTGGAGTTACATTTAAGCTAATCTTTCTTTTAACATGCACATGAACGTTACCAGAGCTCATTGCAAGGTTTTATTGTATCATTAGAAACAACGGTGGAAATCACTAAAAGTTAATGAATTAAAATAGAAATCGTTGATTCCTGCTTTTCAATTGAAATTATTGAACAAGTTTATTGTAGTGGTGCTCGTAAGTATTACATATTTCTGGGCTGTTGTGTTAGGTAGTGACATGCAGCAAAAGATGCTTTCTGCAGTGATTTTACCCACTGCTTGCTTTCCTAATTAAGTTTACATTCCCTCTGAATGCTCAGCTGATGTGTTTGCTTGATATTAAAAATATCCTGATGAAAATCAAGCAGAGTGCAAGCAATGAAATTTTAAATGCAAAGGGTATTTCAAGATTCTTCTTAGATTTGGATCTATCGGAATTAGTTAGCAATTTGTCGTGATTTGTGGGGCAAAGAGTTGTTAATTTTTTAAGATCACTGCTTTTAAAAATCTTGGTCAGAAAGACATTTTCTTTCTAGTGATTGTGGTGATTTTCTGTCAGAAATAGAAACATATCAAATAATACAAAGTAATCATCAATGCCTGTAACAAAAAATTATTCTCTAAAACCAGACACACTTCCCAGCTGTATTCTCCCTCATTCTAATTTTGCTATTTAGTACAGGAAGAGCCTGAAATGTAATACTTAAATTTTACATATATCTACTTTATAAAGCAATAGACCAAGTTTGTTTCGGGTTTCAGCAACTCTCCTTAAGCAGATTCAAGGCTTTTGAAACACATAATTTAGGAACAGGTGAAGGTCAGTGTACAGTCATGTGCTTGCTTTTGTGCTTTGAGTAATAATGGAGAACAGGAACATAACCATAACTTTTGCTAGTTGACAAGTAAAGGACAGCTTTCCAATTGCACTGTAAATTAATATTAAGCCAAATTAAAGCTATTTCTCTATTTAAAAACATGAAAAATTCACTGTAAAGTACATTACATTTAAGAAAGAACAAATTTGAGAAGACTGAATTGCATCCAAGATTATTGCATGAGTTTCACCTCTGAAAATATCATGTAACAAGGAAAAGGCATTTAGACTAAAAAAACTTAGTGCTCTGGATGTGCACTTTACCCTTTTATGTTCTGTTTTTACCTACAAAAACATGTCACAGTGGCTCAGTAATAGCTCCTAACTTGGATAAGTCTTTTCTTAAGGAGAAAATAATATTCTTACCTCAAAAGATTCACTTCCTTTAAGTAAAAAGATTAATTAATTTCACATTTGAAACAAATGAATTCCTAATTTAATTGTTTTCTCAGTAAAAAGAGGTTTTATACTTTATCTTTTACAAAGATAGATAGTATAGTTTTCTGTCAGGAAGGAGTTTGCACGGTGAAGGAAACCA